GGTGAGCGTGCTAACCGGCAGGTGGCTTTTTACAGCTTCCCGTGAGCACCGGGAGCCGTCAGCGCCAGCCCTTCCTCCTCGCTGTGCACAGCAAGCTCGTCCTCGGGGATCCCGTCCCCCCACTCCTCACTCCGGGCTCAGCACTCCCCCCCCGCACCCTCACCTTCACAGGTTCAATAGCTCCCACGGGCCCACCAGGCGGGCTCCGTCAGGGTCCGATTCCCCGTCAGGGCACCTGCCCGGGTTCTAGGCTTGATTCCCATTAGGGGTGTGCAGGAGGCAGCTGATGCAAGGTTCTCTCTCGTCATGGGTGTTTCTCTCTCTCTCTCTCTCTCTCTCTCTCTCTCTCTCTCTCTCTCATTAGGGGTGTGCAGGAGGCAGCTGATGCAAGGTTCTCTCTCGTCATGGGTGTTTCTCTCTCTCTCTCTCTCTCTCTCTCTCTCTCTCATTAGGGGTGTGCAGGAGGCAGCTGATGCAAGGTTCTCTCTCGTCATGGGTGTTTCTCTCTCTCTCTCTCTCTCTCTCTCTCTCTCTCTCTCTCTCATTAGGGGTGTGCAGGAGGCAGCTGATGCAAGGTTCTCTCTCGTCATGGGTGTTTCTCTCTCTCTCTCTCCCCCTTCCTCTCTGTAAAAAAAGTCAATAAAATATATATTAAAAAATAAAGACCCCATTCACATGGCGCTCAGCGTTGTCCGTGGACAAATCATGTCTCTCTGGGCTGCGGCCAAGGAGAGCCACTGCCGAACACAGGACTTGACTGGACCCCCTTGGGAGCCCCTCACTCTCCACAACCAGGGCAGCTTCATCCCCCAGACCCCCCTCCCCTCACCGCCCTCTGCCCCCCAGTGTCCCGGGCCCTGGCTGTCCCCCCCTCCCCCCGTGCCTCCAAGTTCCACCAGGAGCCCCACCCCCATCCCTTCACCTGCAGAAAAGCCTGCAACTGAGTCAAACGCCCACGAAGCAGGGCAGCGGGTTTTGGGGTGTCTCCTGTGCTGAGCGGTCTCGGCCCCGGTCCCTTGAAACTGCAGTCCCTGCCTCTGTCTAGGGTGGAGGGGGTCGCTCAGCTCAGCTCCCAGGGGCCGGCCGACCAGTCCTGACCCTGGGCAGGGGGTCCGTCCCCCCAGCCTGTCCCCCCGGCTGGCCACAGGGTGTGTGCCATGTGGGGGTGAGCGGATGGACGGGCGTGGCTCGGGGAGCGGGGACCGGCTCCCGTCCCGGCTCAGCCGTCTCCACCGTTTGTCCCCAGACCAGGCCGTCCGGCTGATCCATTTCTACGGGAGAAAATTACATTAGAGAGACGGCGCACTCAGAATTACAATTCTAGGGAAATCACATTAGTGATGTCTAGACGGGAAAAATTGAGTTTTGACGGTTATTATTATTTTGAAATATATTTTTTATTGATTTTAGAGAGGAAGGGAGAGGGAGAGAGAGTTAGAAACGTCCATGATGAGAGGGAATCACGGACCGGCTGCCTCCTGCACGCCCCCTGCTGGGGATGGAGCCCGCAACCCCGGGCAGGTGCCCTGATGAGGAATCGAACCGCGACCTCCTGGTGCGGGGGTTGATGCTCAGCTCCTGAGCCTCCGGCCCGCTGTGTTTTGGTGATTTAACCCCGTTTCCTGTTGCTCTGGTGAGGGTGCTTCCAGAGGAGCATCCTGAGGGGCTTCTGGAATTTCCGGAACTCCCCGTCGGTCCCAGAGGGTCAGCCTGTCTGTGAGGCCCTGGCGCCCTCTCGACCTGCAGGCCTTCAACTCCTCCCCTGGGCTGCCCAGTGGGCGGCGTGCCCCCGCCCGCTCTCTGGCGGCCATGCTGGAACTGTGTGCGTTACATTCTCGCCGCCCCCACGTGCAACCCATAAGCTCCCAGCACCTGCATTTTAGCAAGAAAAAGAGAGAGCGGCCCTGGCCGGTGTGGCTCAGTGGATAGAGCGTCGGCCTGCAGACTCAAGGGTCCCGGGTTCGATTCCGGTCAAGGGCATGTACCCTGGTTGCGGGCATATTCCCAGTAGGGGGTGTGCAGGAGGCACGTGATCGATGTTTCTCTCTCATGGATGTTTCTAGCTTTCTATCCCTCTCCCTTCCTCTCTGTAAAAAGCCAATAAAATATATTTTAAAAGAGAGATAGAGAGAGCGCGAGTGGGTTCCTCTGGGACAGGAACAGGGACGTCCATCCCGCACGACTTCTCAGATGCTCTCCATGCAGCCTGCGTTTTGCATCCTCAGTGGAGCCCGTCTGCTCTGCATGCGTTCTGCAGAGCCACTGGGCGGTGCGTGTCATTACTGACTCCAGAGAGGAAGGGGGAGGGAGAGAGAGAAACGTGGGCGAGGAGAGAGAATCCTGGGCCGGCTGCCTCCCGCAGGTCTCCTACTGGGATCAGGCCGCAGCCCCAGGCCTGTGCCCTGACCAGAATCCAACCCGGACCCTCCCGTCTGCAGGCGGACGCTCTAGCCCCTGAGCCAGGCCAGCCAGGGCTCCCGAGCATTTTTAATATATTTTATTGATTTTTTACAGAGAGGAAGGGAGAGGATAGAGAGTTAGAAACATCGATGAGAGAGTCATGGATCAGCTGCCTCTTGCACACCCCTACTGGGGATGTGCCCGCAACCAAGGTACATGCCCTTGACCGGAATCGAACCCGGGACCTTTCAGTCCCCAAGCCGACGCGCTATCCACTGAGCCACACCGGTCTCGGCAAACACCGTGTTTTCCACACCATCCCGTCCCCTCCTTCCCGCGGGCCCAGGTGAGCCAGGCGGGCGGGCGGGAGGGAGGCAGGAGCGCTGGGCGAGCGATGTTTCCGTTTAATTAAAGCCTCAAGTTCAAGGTGGGGAGGACTTATCGCCGGATCCCGGCTGCTCCGGCTTCCAGCAGCCGCAGCCGGAGGCCCCGGGGCCAGAGCCGCCCTCGGAGGGGACCCCCCCCCCCCCGCAGCCCCCGCGCACCTGGCAGGTTCTGGTCCCGTTCTCCCGGGGGAAGAACACGGTTTCCATGGAAACCGAGACCTTGGCGGCGGATTGCAGGGGCTGGTGTCAGTGCTGCTGCAGCGAGGTGGGAGCAGAACCTTCCAGAACGGAGGACGTGGGTGTAATTTCCTGAAACTCAGCGGCCGCCCCCGTGCTGGGGGGGGAGGGGGCGGCGAGGAGCCCGGCGGCAGGTGTGCCCGCATCCGCCGGCTCAGAGCGGCTGCGCCCCCGCCTGGGCCGGCGCAGAGGCCCCGGCCCGGCCCCGGCCCCGGCCCCGGCCCAGCACACGCCCGACCGTCCGTCCGTCCGTCCGCCCGCAGAGCGCGGGCGCACGGGGAGGGACACGCAGAGGCCCTGTGAGAGCCACGGCCCCCACGTCGCTCCGGGCCCCGTGGGACGGGCCCCGTGGCCGCCGTGCGGAGTCCGGGAAGGTCCCACCGGGACGGATTCCCCGCCTCCCGCCTGCGAGGGCCCGGCTCACCCACCGCCGCCTGCAACTTCGCATCCCACTTCCCTCCTTTAAAAAAAATATTTTTTATTAAGATTTTTTTGTCAAATAAATTTTTATTGATTTCAGAGAGAAAGGGTGATGGGGGTGGAGAGAGAGAGAGAGAGAGAGAGAGGGAGAGACAGGGAGGGAGAGAGAGAGGAGCATCCATGATGAGAATCGTGGCACGCCCCCTCTGCCCCTCCGGGATCGAGCCTGCCCCCCGGGCACGTATCCTGGAACCGAATCGAACCCGGGACCCTCCAGTCCTCAGGCTGAGGCTCTACCCACTGAACCACACCGGCCAGGGCTCGAATGCCCTTTCTTTAAACCGCGGCTCGCGAGCCACACGCGGCTCTGGCCCCGGGACGGCGGCTCCTCCACGAAACACCCCGGCCCGGGCGTCTGTGCTGAAGACGTGGCGTTGGAAGTCTACGTTTAAACACGTGGCTCTCCACGGACATGTCCATCGTGGGGCTGCTGTGTTTGGCTCTGTGGACGGATGGGTTTGCCGACCGCGGCTTTAACCGGCTCAGGGTTGGAGAGCCGGCCGGTGGACCGCAGGAGCGTGCGTTCGACTCAGAGTCGAGGGCACGTCCTGCCCGGGGGGCGGCGAGTTCGAGCCCGGCCCTGGGCGCGGGGCAGGCGCAAGAGGCAACCAGCCCCGTCTCTCTCTCCAGCGCCCCCTCCCTCCCTCGCTCCTCCGAAAGGAGAACACATCCCAGGCGCAGACTGAGGAAGGGGGTGCCCGGCGTGGGCGGCCGCGGAGCCACACAGGCCGCGGGGGCGTGCGGGCGGGCGGGGGGAGGGTTCCAGTGTCTACGTCCCGCCCCTTCACAGACACGAGGGCCTCCGTCCCGGCGGGCCCCCGGCCTCTTCCCGCTCCCCGGGGCCGGGGGTCTGGGACCCCGCGCCCCAGCGGCCGGTTCCGGGAGCGGGTTCGGGCGCGCGGCGGGCTGGCGTTCCCCTCCCCGCACGGCCCCGCCCGCCCCGCCCGGCCCTGGGGCTGCGCGGAGGCCTGAGCCCGGCCCGGGTCCGAGTCCCCTTCTGGGAGCGGACGTCAGCCGCCTCCTGTGCCGGCCGCTGGGCCTCGGGCCCCGTCCCGGGTCTGACGGGGAGGCCGGGGGCAGGTCAGCGCCCCGAGTTCGGGAGCCCCGGGCTGTCCGCCGGCCGCCGGCGGGGGCGGAGCCGGGGGCGGCCTCTGTCCGGGACCCGCAGCCGGACGGCGGGAGGGGGTCCGGGCGGGGCGGGGGTCTCTGTCCGGGACCCGCAGCCGGACGGCGGGAGGGGGTCCGGGCGGGGCGGGGGTCTCTGTCCGGGACCCGCAGCCGAACGGCGGGAGGGGGTCCGGGCGGGGCGGGGTCTCTGTCCGGGACCCGCAGCCGAACGGCGGGAGGGGGGTCCGGGCGGGGCGGGGGCCTCTGTCCGGGACCCGCAGCCGAACGGCGGGAGGGGGGTCCGGGCGGGGCGGGGGTCTCTGTCCGGGATCCGCAGCCGGACGGCGGGAGGGGGTCCGGGCGGGGCGGGGTCTCTGTCCGGGACCCGCAGCCGGACGGCGGGAGGGGGTCCCGGCGGGGCGGGGTCTCGTGCTGTCAGGGCGCTGTCTGAGGGCCCGGGGCTCGGGCTGGGCTCACGCGGGGGGCAGGTCGGCGCGGGGGGCGGACTGGCTGCTCCTGTCCCAGGGGCTGAGCTTGGAGGAGGCCGTGCCCGGCCGGGTCCCGTTCGTCTGCGGAGGCAGAGGGGAGGCGTGAGGGGGCGGAGGGGGTGTGAGGGGCGGAGGGGAGGCGTGAGGGGGTGTGAGGGGGCGGAGGGGGGTGTGAAGGGGCGGAGGGGGGCGGGAGGGGTGTGAGGGGGCGGAGGGGGTGTGAAGGGGCGGAGGGGGTGTGAGGGGGCGGAGGGGGGTGTGAAGGGGCGGAGGGGGGCGGGAGGGGTGTGAGGGGGCGGAGGATGGGGGTGTGAGGGGGCGGAGGGAGGTGGGAGGGGGCGGAGGGGGTGTGAGGGGGCGGAGGGGGGTGTGAGGGGGCGGAGGAGGGGGGTGTGAGGGGGCGGAGGGAGGTGGGAGGGGGCGGAGGGGGGGTGAGGGGGCGGAGGGGGGTGTGAGGGGGCGGAGGAGGGGGGTGTGAGGGGGGGCGGAGGGAGGTGGGAGGGGGGCGGAGGGGGTGTGAGGGGGCGGAGGGGGTGTGAGGGGGCGGAGGAGGGGGTGTGAGGGGGCGGAGGGAGGTGGGAGGGGGCGGAGGGGGGTGTGAGGGGGCGGAGGGGGTGTGAGGGGGCGGAGGGGGCGTGAGGGGGCGGAGGAGGGAGGTGTGAGGGGGCGGAGGGGGGTGTGAGGGTGCCGGCCCCCCCGCACGCACCACGTCGGAGCTGAAGGGCTTCGGGGGGGCGATGCGGCCGGAGCTGCTCGACAGGGACCAGACCTTGGTCTTGTGCTTGAAGGCGGCTCTCACCTTCGGGCGGGACGGGGCCGTGGGAATCGGGGCTCCTGGAGGAGGTCTCCCCCCTCCACCCACCCCTACCCTCTCCCTGCACCCCGCACCCCAGCCCCACCCTCTCCCGCACCCCAGCCCCACCCTCACCCGCACCCCAGCCCCACCCCTCTCCCCGCACCCCAGCCCCACCCCTCTCCCCGCACCCCAGCCCCACCCTCTCCCCGCACCCCAGCCCCACCCTCACCCCGCACCCCAGCCCCACCCTCTCCCCGCACCCCAGCCCCACCCTCACCCCGCACCCCAGCCCCACCCTCTCCCTGCACCCCAGCCCCACCCTCACCCCGCACCCCAGCCCCACCCTCTCCCTGCACCCCAGCCCCACCCTCACCCCGCACCCCAGCCCCACCCTCACCCCACACCCCAGCCCCACCCCTCTCCCCGCACCCCAGCCCCACCCTCAGCCCCACCCTCACCCCGCACCCCAGCCCCACCCTCACCCCGCACCCCAGCCCCACCCTCTCCCCGCACCCCAGCCCCACCCTCTCCCCGCACCCCAGCCCCACCCTCACCCGCACCCCAGCCCCACCCCTCTCCCCGCACCCCAGCCCCACCCCCACCCCGCACCCCAGCCCCACCCTCACCCGCACCTCAGCCCCACCCTCTCCCCGCACCCCAGCCCCACCCTCACCCCGCACCCCAGCCCCACCCTCTCCCTGCACCCCAGCCCCACCCTCACCCCGCACCCCAGCCCCACCCTCTCCCTGCACCCCAGCCCCACCCTCACCCCGCACCCCAGCCCCACCCTCACCCGCACCCCAGCCCCCCCCTCACCCCGCACCCCAGCCCCACCCTCACCCCGCACCCCAGCCCCACCCTCTCCCCGCACCCCAGCCCCACCCTCACCCCGCACCCCAGCCCCACCCTCACCCCGCACCCCACCCTCCACCCAGCCCCACTCTCACCCCGCACCCCAGTCCCACCCTCACCCCGCACCCCAGCCCCACCCTCACCCCGCACCCCTGCCCCACCCTCTCCCCGCACCCCAGCCCCACCCTCACCCTGCACCCCACCCTCCACCCAGCCCCACTCTCACCCCGCACCACCCTCTCCCCGCAGGACATCCGGGGGAGGCTTGGTGGTTGCTTAGCGACGGGAAGAGCCGAAGGGGCTGAGACCTGCCACCCACACCGCCCGCCCCTGGCTCAGGGGCTGAACTCCAACCTCTGAACCCGGAGGTCACGGTTCCATTCCCCCAGGGCACAGGCCGGGTGTGGCCTCTATCCCCACCAGCAGGGGGCGTGCAGGAGGCAGCCGGCCCATGATTCTCTCTCAGCATGGATGTCTCTCTCTCTCCCCCTCTCCCTTCCTCTCTGGAATCAATTAAAATATATTTATTCTTAAAAAAAGGAGCGAAAACCCGTTCCCAGCTGCCCCCGCCCAGCGCAGTGAGGGGCGCCTACCTCGGAGTTCAGGAGGCAGTGGAAGAGGAAGATGAAGAAGCCCTGGGGGCAGGAAGGGAGGGAGAGTCAGGCCCACTGCCGCCCCCGCGCACAGACACCCCCAGGGCTCCTGGCTCGCACCCGGCCCGCCTGCTGTTGGGGAGCCCGAGGGAGCAAGCTCGGTGCTCTGGGTCCCTGAGGAGGGAGGGGCATCCTGGATGGCGGTCACATGACCTGCAAGCAGGCAGCAGCTGCGAGCAGGTGAGGGTGGGGTGGGGGAGCAGGTGTGTGGGGGGAGCAGGTGTGTGGGGAGAGCAGGTGTGGGTGGGGTGGGGGAGCAGGTGTGTGGGGGGAGCAGGTGTGGGTGGGGTGGGGGAGCAGGTGTGTGGGGGGAGCAGGTGTGGGTGGGGTGGGGGAGCAGGTGTGTGGGGGGAGCAGGTGTGTGGGGAGAGCAGGTGTGGGTGGGGTGGGGGAGCAGGTGTGGGTGGGGTGGGGGAGCAGGTGTGTGGGGAGAGCAGGTGTGGGTGGGGTGGGGGAGCAGGTGTGTGGGGGGAGCAGGTGTGTGGGGAGAGCAGGTGTGGGTGGGGGAGCAGGTGTGGGTGGGGGAGCAGGTGTGGATGGGGGGGGCTGTGCTTCGGCCCGGATTCCGGGAGAGGCTGCACCTGGGGGCAGGGGTGGGCGGGCGGGGGCGGGGCCGAGAAGGGGCTGCGGAGGGAGGGAGGGAGGGGAGCGCCGGACGCCCACCTGCAGGGAGTTGAGGACGGCGAAGGCGTACTGGAAGGCCACCGCCTGGTTGTTGACGGCCAGCACCCCGAAGACCCAGGAGGTGCCCAGGATGGGCAGCAGCACGGCCACCGCCTTCGCCGTCAGCCTGGGGGCGAGGGGTGGTGCTGGGGGCGGGCGGGCTCCGGGCCCAGGCACCCCGGACACCGGAGCAGCCTGGACGGGTCCCCAGCGCCCACAGAGGGTGCAGGGGAGACGTGCCCAGCACCCGGCCCCTGCAGCCGGCCCGGGGGACCCCGTGTCCTCGCTGGGGAGGGCTCCGTGGGCAAAGGGACCCGGCCCCCGCGCCCCGAGTGCCGGGACAGAGGACAGAGTGTGGGTATGCAGGGTCCTGTGCCCGGCTGCCCGACTCCGGCCGGGACGGGCGGCCTCGCAGGGCGTGACCCCTGACCCGTAACCCCTGACCCAGGGTCGACCTGCGCCAGGGCCCAGCCCTCCACTCTGCGGAGGCCGAAGAGCCCGAGGGCCGGGCCGCCTGTCCCCTCGGCCCCGCGGTCGGCAAACGCTGGCCGGTGAGGGCGGCTCCTCCTTGACGCCAGGGCCGGGCGCCAAGGCCAGTCCCCCCTCTCCGCCGGCCCTGCGCCCCGCTTTCCAGCCCCGGTTCCCGGAGGAGCCGCCCTCCACCTCCTGCCTGTGCTTTGGGTGTGGGCGTCTGACTGCACCCGGAGCCAGGCAGGACCTCCCCACGCCGTCCCAGGCCGCCCTCGGGGGGGCACCCTCATGGGGACACCCTCAGCCCCAGCCGCCCTCGGGGGGGGCGCCCTCGGCCCGGCCCGCCCTCGGGGGGCACCCTCAGCCCCAGCCGCCCTCAGGGGGGGCGCCCTCGGCCCGGCCCGCCCTCGGGGGGCACCCTCAGCCCCAGCCGCCCTCAGGGGGGGCGCCCTCGGCCCGGCCCGCCCTCAGGGGGCGCCCTCGGCCCAGCCCGCCCTCGGGGGGCGCCCTCGGCCCGGGCCCACATACCTGAAGGCGCTGGGGTCCCTGTGGACCTGGTAGTTGTCGGCACTGATCTGGGAGATGACCCTGGTGACGGCGACGAGGATGCCCACGTTCACCTGCGGGCGGGGGGAGGGGGGAGAGAAGGGGGGGAGGAGGGGGGAGAGGGGGGGAGAGGAGGGAAGGGGGGAGGAGGGGGGAGAGAAGGGGCAGGTGAGGGCTGGGCGGCACCCGCCCAGCACCCGCCTCCTCCTGGCACCGCCCTCCCCGGCCCCTGAGCACCTGCCCCCCAGCCCCCCAGCCCCCCAGGACTGCCCTCTGGGGGCCCATCCGTGGGGCAGAGAGAGGACAGCAGCACAGGCCCGTCCTGCCGGCCGGCGTGGCTCAGGGGCGGAGCATCGACCTAGGAACCAGGAGGTCAGGGTTCGATTCCCGGGCAGGGCACAGGCCCGGGTGGCGGGCTCATCCCCAGGAGGGGGCGTGCACGAGGCAGCCGGTCCATGGTTCTCTCTGGGATGTTTCTCTCTCTCTAACCTCCTCTCCCTTCCTCTCTGAAATCCATGAAAACAAGTATTTTTTAAAAAGAACAAGGGTGTTTCCCAGCTGCGGTTGGTGTTAGAATCCCATGGGATCCCAGGGACAGTCCCTGACCCAGACCCTGCAGGGCGCTGACCTGACCCCTGACCCCTGACCCTGACCCAGCACGGAAGGCACCTGCTCCTGACCACCAGCTTAGGAATCCCATTTCGGTTCGACCCCGAGTGGCCTTGCGACCCTGGGACCTGAGTCCAGGCTCAAGCTTTAAACCCGACGTAAACGGTATCATTAACGCTGGTGTTTCCAGGGTTGGAGCCCCAGTTCGGGTGGCCATGAACGTGGGGGTTCTGTCCCAGCGTTACAAAGGGGTCCTCAGCAATCTGGAGAAAGGCTGTGCGTAGGCTCAATACAGTCCGAGGACGAAAGGTAGTTTTGCAGGCACTGGGGGGTCAGAGGGGCTTCAGCTGAAGGAGCTAAGCCTACCCCTTGTCTCAGGATCCCGCCCTAAGGCAAGGTGGAGATCCTGCACTTCAGAGGGCAGGGTTTACAGAAGCATCGTCAGATTGGGGAATAGCCCACCGCTGTTCAGGTGTCTGGCCAACAGGAGGCAATAACGAACAGATTAAGATGCCCTGAGCTGTCTGGCAGCAGACGATCATCCCAGTCAGGTTTGGGGGACATGCTTTTTAGCTGTTCCAACAGGTAATTTATATACGTGGCTCAGCCCCCAAGCCTCAGCAACCTTTCGAGGACACTCGTAATTAGGAGAGGCTGGAGCTGGTTCCCGGCACCAGACCACAGCCGGGAGGGGTCCACCAGGGGGAGCTCCAGGGTCCCCCCAGCTCCTGCTCCCCCCCCACCTCAGGCGGCACCTACCAGGATGACCAGCAGGGCGGGGGCCACAAAGGCCCAGATGGCTCCGCTGTGCAGGGACAGCCAGCAGCTGGGGAGGGAAGCGACCACTCAGCCCGTCTCTCTCTCTACGGACGGCGGGGCCTTCTCCTGGGACGCGACCCCCGGCCTGGCCCCCAGCCATCCCTCCTCATCCGGGTCCGAGGGCCGTCCACCGCCCGTGGGAACGTGGCGGGAGGCGGCGACGCCCGGGAAATCCCCTCGGCTGCGCCCTGCACGCCGGGCCCGGCCTGTGCGCCCGCCTGCACTTCCGCACCCCTGGGTTCCCAGCTGCAATTACGGGGCATGGGGCGCCCTAGGCCCCTGCGGACCCCCCTCCCCCAATAGAGCTACAGTCACCGACCGGGGATCCGGGCTGACCCATGTCTAGGGAGTCCACAGGAATAAAACGTTTCCGTCCGCACCCTCTGCCCACCGGCTCCTCCACCCCCCATGCCTCTGTCCCCACCCCGCCAGCCCCGCCCCCGGGAACCTCGACCCTCTCGGCCGGTCCCCGCCCCGGCCAGCCCCGCCCCCGGGAACCTGGACCCTCTCTGTCCTGTCCCCGCCCCGGCCAGCCCCACCCCCGGGAACCTGGGACCCTCTCGGCCGGTCCCCGCCCCGCCCCGCCAGCCCCGCCCCCGGGAACCTGGGACCCTCTCGGCCGGTCCCCGCCCCGCCCCGGCCAGCCCCGCCCCCGGGAACCTGGACCCTCTCTGCCCGTCCCCGCGGGAGCCGGCTGACGCGGGAGCCGAGCCGGCTTACTTGTTGGTGGTCCCGTAACTGTCCAGGGCACAGGAGATGGAGACGACGCAGATCAGCAGCGGGGACCCTGGAGGGAGACCAGGGGGCGCCCGTGAGCCCTGCCCTGCCTCCCACTCCCGAGGTCATTCACTCGTGTACGCCCGATTCACGCCCAGAGCCACGGGCAGTTACGCCCGATTCACGCCAAGAGCCACGGGCAGGCTGGGACGCAGAGCAGCCGAGTCCTCCGACCTTAACAAGAGGGAACAGCCCGGTGGCTCCGGGGTTGAGCATCCAACTACCAACCAGGCGGTCAGGGTTCGATTCCCGTCAGGGCACAGGCCTGGGTTGCGGGCTCCGTCCCCAGTAGGGGGCGTGCAGGAGGCAGCCGGTCCATGATTCTCTCTCCTCATGGATATTCCTCTCTCTGCCCCTCTCCCTTCCTCTCGGAAATCAATGCAAATGTTTAAAATAAATAAGAAAATTAAAAGGACCCCCATAGACGTCAGAATCGCGGGGAGCAAGTGATTCCCAGGATGTGAGACCTTTGCTCTGTTTGGCCAACGTGGTTCTCCCTTATGTCCTGGCCTCTCCGAGGTGCAGAGAAGGCCAAGAGGAGAGCAAACCCCATCCCATCCCGCCCCCACACCCCGCCCCCAGCCAGGCGGCACCTGCCCTGCCCGGGGCCCCACCCCAACCCCCTGCACCCACCCCAGCCTGGTGGCACCCACCCCAGCCCCCGCACCCACCCCAGCCTGGTGGCACCCGCCCCAGCCCCGCACCCGCCCCAGCCCCGCACCCGCCCCAGCCCCGCACCCACCCCAGCCCCCGCACCCACCCCAGCCTGGTGGCACCCACCCCAGCCCCCGCACCCACCCCAGCCCCCGCACCCACCCAGCCTGGTGGCACCCGCCCCAGCCCCGCCCCCGCCCAGCCCCGCACCCACCCCAGCCGATGCCGTAGTAGTAGCGGTGCTTGCTGTCCTCGGAGCCGAAGACCCGGATGACCATGCTGTATAGGTGCAGCCCCTCCACCAGCATCCAGGCGAAGGCGCTCAGGAAGAAGAAGTGCAGCAGCACGGCCAGCGCCCGGCAGGGCATCTGGGGAGGGCGGAGGCCGGGTCAGCCCCAGGCGCTCCGGGTCCCGGCCCCAGCCCCTGTCTGCCCCCCAGCGCCCCCGTCAGGTCCCCTGGGCGCTCCGGGTCCCGGCCCCAGCCCGTCTGCCCCCCAGCGCCCCCGTCAGGCCCCGCGGGCGCTCCGGGGTGCGGCCCCAGCCCCTCTCTGCCCCCCAGCGCCCCCGTCAGGCCCCCCTGGGCGCTCCCGGGGTGCGGGACCCCTAGCGCCCCCGTCAGGCCCCCCAGCGCCCCCTCTGGGGCATCCTCGGGGGTCACGTGGCCTGACTTCAGCCCTGGGAGTCAGGGCTCCTTCCCACTTCCGGTCTGGTGGGGGCACGTGACTCGTGGGGAACCAATCAGCGCCCCAGGTGCCCTCCCAGGCACCGTGATTGGTTCCAGGAAGACGTGGGAATCAGGTCCGGCCAATCAGCACGCGTGTCCCCATTCCCAGCGACGGGATTGGCTCAGGGTTCCCGCCTCCCTCCGGAACCCTGGTCCCCGCCCCTGGGGGGCCTGGGGCACGGGGTTCAGAGGCGGGGCCTCCCCCTGGACTCCGGGACGCCCGTCTGTCCGCCTCGCGGTGCCCGCCAGCCGGACACCGTGTCCTCTGCACCAGCGCGTCGTCTCCCTGGGGGACCCGGCCTTGTGGGGGGGGGGGGGGTCCCTCTGCATCGGGCCGGAGGGTTCCAGCTGCAGGAGGCGCCGCCGGGCACCTGGGGAGCAGGGGAGTTTGGGGGGCCTGGGGGCTCACCGTGCCCGGCTGGCAGTGGAAGCTGACGAGCAGCAGCACCTGGGCCACCAGGACGGCGAAGGACAGGTTGGCATGGATGTGGTAGCGCTGGTTCCGGATGGTGCTGACCGAGCTGAGGGCAGGGGCAGGGGGCAGGGTCAGGGTCAGGGTCAGGGTCAGGGGGCAGGGTCAGGGTCAGGGGGCAGGGGCAGAGGGCAGGGGCAGGGGCAGGGGGCAGGGTCAGGGTCAGGGGGCAGGGGCTGAGGGCAGGGGCAGGGGGCAGGGTCAGGGTCAGGGTCAGGGGGCAGGGGCAGAGGGCAGGGGCAGGGGGCAGGGTCAGGGTCAGGGTCAGGGGGCAGGGGCAGAGGGCAGGGGCAGGGTCAGGGGGCAGGGCAGGGGCAGAGGGCAGGGGGCAGGGGCAGAGGGCAGGGGCAGGGGGCAGGGGGCAGGGGGCAGGGGGCAGGGGCAGAGGGCAGGGGCAGGGGGCAGAGGGCAGGGGCAGGGGGCAGGGGCAGGGGCAGGGGGCAGGGGCAGGGGGCAGGGGTGAAGCCAGGACCAGCCCCATGGGAAGCGGGCCCAGATGCCCTCCCTCTCGGCCCCTCGATGGCTCCGGCTGCCCTGGGAAATGGCCCGCTCTGGGCAGCCCCGCGGCTTAGTGGAAGCCCATGTCCTCCAGCGCCACCAGGTCCCCCTGCAGCCCAGGCCTCAGCCCGGGGAGCGACCGGGGACGCAGGCCGCGGGGCTGGGGCTGAGCGGCGACCTGCGAACCAGGAGGTCGGGGTTCGATCCCGGCCAGGGCACAGGCCCGGGTGGCGGGCTCCATCCTCAGCAGGCGGCCCGCAGGAGGCAGCCGGTCTATGGTTCTCCCATTATGGATGTTTCTCTCTCTCTCCCTCTCTCCAACCAAGTACGTGCCCTTGACGGGAATCGAACCTGGGACCCTTCAGTCCGAGGGCCAACGGTCTGTCCACTGGGCCAAGCCTCGGGCTAGAAAATAGGTATCTCACCGAAACCGGTGTGGCTCAATGGACAGAGTATCCGCCTGCGGACTGAAGGGTCCCGGGTTCGATTCCGGTGAAGGGCATGTACCTTGGTTGCAGGCACATCCCCGGTGGGGGGCGTTGCAGGAGGCAGCTGGTGGATGTTTCTCTCTCATCAATGTTTCTAGCTCTCTATCCCTCTCCCTTCCTCTCTGTAAAGAATCAATTAATTTTTTAAAAAAATACGTATTTCTTACAAAGTGACTGAGGAGTCAATCTGCAGACCCAGCTCATGCAAAGGCCGGCGGGGGGGCCGAGGGGGGAGAGGGGGCCAAGCGGGGGGGGGCAGGGGGTCCTGTTTGCACGGAGCCTCCTGGGACACGGACACGGGCATGGGCACGGGCATGGGCATGGACAGGACACGGACAGGGCACGGACAGGACAGGACATGGACACGGACAGGACAGGACACGGGCACGGACAGGACACGGACAGGACAGGACACGGGCATGGACAGGACACGGAGAGGACACGGACATGGACACGGACAGGACATGGACATGGACACGGACAGAACACGGAGAGGACACGGACAGGGCACGGAGAGGACACGAACAGGAAACGGACAGGACAGGACATGGACACGGACAGGACATGGACATGGGCACAGTCACGGGCACGGACAGGACAGGACAGGGACAGGACACGGAGAGGACACGGACATGGACACGGATAGGACACGGAGAGGACACGGACAGGGCACGGAGAGGACACGAACAGGACACGGACAGGACAGGACATGGACACGGACAGGACATGAACATGGGCACAGACACGGGCACGGACAGGACAGGACAGGGACAGGACACGGAGAGGACACGGACATGGACACGGACAGGGCACGGAGAGGACACGGACAGGGCACGAACAGGACAGGACACAGGGGCGGCGGGCCTCACGAGAGCATGGCGAAGGTGGCCAGCGTGCCCGCCAGGCAGAGCACCGACAGGGAGCAGCCGATGTACGTGATGGACGAGAGCGCCACCTGGTGTCCGCGCGTGAGCTGTGCGGGCGGGGGCGCGGGAGCGGAGGTCAGGCCCGGGACCGGGATCAGGGGACGGGGGACCGAACCGGTGGGCACGGCGGGCGCTCCGGCCCCCGGGCCCCGGCCCCGCCTCCGGGGTGCGCGTGGCCTCCGGGTCAGCCCTGGGCGGCACGTGGCCGATGCCCCAATGGCCCCAGCCTGACCTGCGCCTGCGAACCCTCCCTCCCCCGGGGCCCCCTCCCCGTAGCTCGCAGGACGGTGCCCCTTGGGCGTGGACCTGGCTGTTCATTTATTTGGGGGATCTGGTTATTTGTCAGCGTGGGCAGCCGTGGTGGCGCAGGGATGATTCTGAACCGCTGAGGCCGCCGGGCCTGCGATGAGTGGCTGGATGTGCTTCTAGGAAGACACCCAGGGCCGGGCTGAACCCCGCGCTGCCTGTGCGCCCGCTCTGCCTTCAGCTCAGGGGACCCGGCTGCCCAGCTGCCCGCCTCTGCCTGCCTCTGCCTGCCTCCCTCTGCCTCCCTCTGCCTCCCTCTGCATCCCTCTACCTCCCTCTGCCTCCCTCTGCCTCCCCTCTCCTGCCCCTCTGCCTCCCTCTGCCTCCCCTCTCCCGCCCCTCTGCCTCCCTCTGCCTCCCTCTGCCTCCCCTCTCCCTCCCCTCTGCCTCCCTCTGCCTCCCCTCTCCCTCCCTCTGCCTCCCCTCTCCCTCCCCTCTGCCTCCCTCTGCCTCCCTCTGCCTCCCCTCTGCCTCCCCTCTGCCTCCCTCTGCCTCCCTCTGCCTCCCCTCTCCCTCCCCTCTCCCTCCCCTCTGCCTCCCTCTGCCTCCCCTTCTGCCTCCCTCTGCCTCCCTCTGCCTCCCCTCTGCCTCCCTCCCCTCTGCCTCCCCTCTGCATCCCTCTGCCTCCCTCTGCCTCCCTCTGCCTCCCCTCTGCCTCCCCTCTGCCTCCCTCTGCCTCCCTCTGCTTCCCTCCCCTCTCCCTCCCCTCTGCCTGCCTCCCCTCTGCCTGCCTCCCTCTGCCTCCCCTCTGCATCCCTCTGCCTCCCCTCTGCCTCCCTCTGCCTCCCTCTGCCTCCCTCTGCCTCCCTCTGCCTCCCCTCTGCCTCCCTCTGCCTCCCCTCTGCATCCCTCTGCATCCCTCTGCCTCCCTCTGCCTCCCCTCTGCCTCCCTCTGCCTCCCTCTGCCTTCACTCTGCCTCCCCTCTCCCTCCCCTCTGCCTCCCTCTGCCTCCCCTCTGCCTGCCTCCCTCTGCCTCCCTCTGCCTCCCCTCTCCCTCCCCTCTGCCTCCCTCTGCCTCCCCTCTGCATCCCTCTGCATCCCTCTGCCTCCCTCTGCCTCCCCTCTGCCTCCCTCTGCCTCCCCTCTGCCTCCCCTCTGCCTCCCTCTGCCTCCCTCTGCCTCCCTCTGCCTCCCCTCTGCCTCCCTCTGCCTCCCCTCTGCCTGCCTCCCCTCTCCCTCCCCTCTGCCTTCCTCCCCTCTCCCTCCCCTCTGCCTGCCTCCCCTCTCTCTCCCCTCTGCCTCCCCTCTGCCTGCCTCCCCTCTGCCTGCCTCCCTCTGCCTCCCCTCTGCCTGCCTCCCCTCTGCCTGCCTCCCTCTGCCTCCCCTCTGCATCCCTCTGCCTCCCTCTGCCTCTCCTCTGCTTACCCCCCAGCCCTGAGCCCAGAGAGGGAGGGACCTGGAGGAGGCCTGCACCCGGGGGGCAAACCCTGCCCCCTGCCTCCCAGGGGGACTGCCTGGCCGGGGGCCCCCCACCCAGCGGGACCCCCTGACCCGCGGGCCCTCACCTGCAGCGGCACCACCTGCATGAGGATGGCGAAGTTGGTGAGGTGCGAGCAGCGGCAGACGGAGTAGCCCAGGTCCCCCTCTGCCAGGACGCAGCCCGCGCTGGACCAGACGCCCTCCCCGGAGCTGCGGGCCGGAGGGCGGTCAGCGGAGGCGGCGGCCGGCCCGGCGAGGGGCCTCTGGGGGGGGGACGCGGCCGAACGGCGCCCAGGCCTGGCCCATTAGGCAGCGGGACGTGTCCTGCTGGGGCCCTCTGAGCGCGGGCACCGGGCACCGGGCACCGGGTGCTCACTGAGGGGGATGGGGCCGGTGACCCAGGCCCGCCCGGGGACGGACACACCGGGGGGACACACCGGGGGGGACAGGACACGCACAGGAGGGACCCAGGTCAGGTCTCGGCCGCTGGCGCCCCCACTGCCCGCCCCCTGAGCCCCCGCCCCCCAGCAATCCCCGCCTCGGGCCGCACCTGAAGTCCAGGAAGGCGCAGTACAGGAACACGCGGTTGGTCTCATTGGCCGCCTCGCGCTGCTGCCGGCTGGTCTGGAAGAGGACGGGCGCCGTGAGGCCATTCGGACGGGCTGGGGGCCGGGCTCCGCCTCAGGCTCCGCACGGCGGGGCCCCTCCCGCTCGCTGCTCCCCGGGACCTCGCTGCCGGGGCCCCGTCCCCAGACCCCCTGTCCACACAGAGCTGTGCCCCCGCTCCCCTGCTCCCCGACATCCACACGTGGACCTCGGACCCTCACCCCAGCTCCACGCTGTCGGCTCTGCCTGTGCTCAGACCCGGGCGGTCACACAGCCCCGGGCGGTCACACAGCCCCGGGCGGTCACACAGCCCCGGGCGGTCACACAGCCCCGGTCACACAGCCCCGGTCACACAGCCCGGCCGGTCACACAGCCCCGGTCACACAGCCCCGGGCGGTCACACAGCCCCGGGCGGTCACACAGCCCCCGGAGGTGGAGGTCCGGGAGGGCACCGCGGGGGCGGCCGGCGAGGCCCAGGCGGGGGAGGAGGGTTCGGCTGCAGCCGGGCCGGAGGCCCCACTCCCACCCAGGGCGGCGCCCAGCCCAGCCCTCCCTCCCCCCACCTCCCACCTCGGCGGAGGCTCAGCCCCCCCTGCAGCCCGCTGTGTGCGTGTGTGTGCATGTGTGTGCGCGCGTGTGTATGTGTGCGTGTATGTGTGCGTGCGCGTATGTGTGCGTGCGTGTATGTTTGTGTGTGTGCGTGCATGTGTGTGCGCGCGCGTGTGTATGTGTGCGTGTATGTGTGCGTGCATGTATGTTTGTGTGTGTGTGCGTGTGTGTGCGTGCGTGTATGTTTGTGTGTGTGTGTGCGTGTGCGTGCGTGTGTGTGAGAGAGATGGTGTGTGTGTGTGAGTGTGTGTGAGTGTGTGTGTGTGCGTGTGTGTGCGTGTGCGTGCGTGTGTGTATGTGTGTGTAGTCAGCAGGGGAGGCGGCCGCTGTGTGTGAGCGTGCGTGCGCGCGTGTGTGTGTGCGCGTGTGTGTGTGCGTGCGTGTGCGTGTGTGCATGTGTGTTTGTGTGTGCGTGTGCGTGTGTGCATGTGTGTGCGTGTTTGTGTGTGTGCGTGTATGTGTGTGCGTGTGTGAGTGTGCGTGTGCGTGTGTATGTATGTGTGTGTCTGTGTGTGGTCAGCGGGCGGAGGCGGCTGCTGTGTGTGTGTATGTGTGTGTGTATGTGTGTGTATGTATGTGTGTGTGTGTGTGTGTAGTCAGCAGGCGGAGGCGGCTGCTGTGTGTGTTTGTATGTGTGTGTATGTGTGTGTGTGTCTGTGTGTGGTCAGCGGGCGGAGGTGGCTGCTGTGTGTGTGTATGTGTGTGTGTGTCTGTGTGTGGTCAGCGGGCGGAGGTGGCTGCCCGGTGGGCGCGGCCGAGGTCACACCCGTCCGCCCTCCGGCCGTGGGAACGCACAGCCCAGGGTTGGGGGCTCCATCCCCAGCAGGGGGCGGGTGGGAGGCAGCCGGTCCGTGATTCCCTCCCATCATGGATGTTACTTTCTTTCTTAAAAAAAAAAAAATTCTTTATTGATTTCAGAGAGAAAGGGAGAATGAGAGAGACAGAAACACCCATGGTGAGAGAATCACGGACCGGCTGCCTCCTGCACGCCCCCCACTGGGGATCGAGCCCGCAACCTGAGCCTGGGCCCCGACCGGAATCGAACCCGGGACCCTTCAGCCCGCAGGCCGACGCTCTGTCCACGGAGCCAGGCCGGCCAGGCCTCCTCATGGATGTTTCTATCTCCCTCTCCCTCTCCCGTCCTCTCTGAAATCAATAAAAAACAATTTTATTTTTTTTTTAAAGAAGGAAATGCAAACAAAACAAGACCGGGTCCGGCACAGGCTGAGTGGGCCTCCGGCGGCGACAGAAATTGCTACAACCTCCGTGCGGGCAGCTCCGCGGGCCGACCGATCAGACCGTGTGTCTCCACGGGGCCGACCGATCAGACCGTGTGTCTCCACGGGGCCGGGGGGGGGGGCGGGGGGCCGACCGATCAGACCGTGTGTCTCCACGGGGCCGATCGATCAGACCGTGTGTCTGCACGGGGCCGACCCATCAGACCGTGTGTCTCCACGGGGCCGGGGGGGGGGGCGGGGGGCCGATGGATCCTGACCGTGTGTCTCCACGGGGCCGGGGGGGGGGCGGGGGGCCAACCGATCAGACCGTGTGTCTCCACGGGGCCGAGGGGGGGGGGCGGGGGGCCGACCGATCAGACCGTGTGTCTCCACGGGGCCGGGGGGGGGGGCGGGGGGCCGACCGATCAGACCGTGTGTCTCCACGGGGCCGAGGGGGGGGCGGGGGGGCCGACCGATCAGACCGTGTGTCTCCACGGGGCCGGGGGAGGGGCGGGGGGCCGATGGATCCTGACCGTGTGTCTCCACGGGGCCGGGGGGGGGGGGGGGGGCCAACCGATCAGACCGTGTGTCTCCACGGGGCCGAGGGGGGGGGGCGGGGGGCCGACCGATCAGACCGTGGGTCCCCACGGGGCCGGGGGGGGGGGGCGGGGGGCCGACCGATCAGACCGTGTGTCTCCACGGGGCCGAGGGGGGGGGCGGGGGGCCGACCGATCAGACCGTGTGTCTCCACGGGGCCGAGGGGGGGGGGCGGGGGGCCGACCGATCAGACCGTGTGTCTCCACGGGGCTGAGGGGGGGGGGGCGGGGGGCCGATCGATCAGACCGTGTGTCTCCACGGGGCCGAGGGGGGGGGCGGGGCGGGGGGGCGGGGCAGGGGGGCCGAGGCGGGGGGGTGTGGGGTGGGGGGGGCGGGGGGCGGGGGGCCTCGGGAGCTGGCTTCCCGGCCGGACGACACCACATCGCCCGCGGGCACACCCCGGTGCAGGCCGAGATCCCCTCTGAGGGGAGGTGACCAGATGTCCTGCTTTTGGCAGGACAGACCCGATTTTTAAAAAATATATATTTTATTGACTTTTCAGAGAGGAAGGGAGAGAGAGAGAGCGTTAGAAACATCGATGAGAGCGAGTCATCTATCAGCTGCCTCCTGCACGCCCCCCACCGGGGATGTGCCCGCAACCAAGGTCCATGCCTTTGACCGGAATCGGACCCAGGACCCTTCCGTCCGCAGGCCGACGCTCTATCCACTGAGCCACGCCGGTTTGGGCTAGACAAACTGTTAAAAAGCGGGACGTCCGGTCGCCTCAGTCTAAGGCGCCTCCCCCCGGGACAGGCCCTGGGTCCCGCCGGCCCCCCCCCCCCACTCCAGGCCAGGAGAACCCAGTGCCTCAGCCCCGGGCCCCGGGCCCCGTCCAGGAGGGCAGGGACCGAGTGCAGGCCCACCTCTCTCCCAGCCCCCCCCCCGGTTCCCACCGAACAAACGGTCTCAGCTCCAAAGCGCCGAACGCCCTCAGAAACGAGAAAGCAGCGACCTTCAAAGGAAACCCGAAGCCTGGGAGAGCCGGCCGCCCGGCCTCAATTACGGGTCTCTGGGACGACACGCCCGCCCGCCCGCCGGCCGCCGCTCAGAGCCTCCGCTTCAGAAATAACCCGGCTGCCGCCCCCTCTGTCCCCGGCTCCCGGGAACCTCCCGGCCCCCGGAGGCCGGCCCTGGCTCCCACCGGGCCCCGGGCGTGGGAGCGTCTAACCTTCAATCTATAAGACGCGTCTTGTGTTGTCGACAGCAGGAGTGCCGTGTGTCCAGACGTGCATTAGACACACACACGCACACACACACGCACGGTCACGGAGCGGTCAGGGGGTGGGGACCTGGCCTCCCCACTCTGTCCTGCGTTGGCACCGATACGGGACCGCCGTGCCAAGGGCCGGGCCGTCTAACGGCTGTGCCGGACGCCCGAAGGCCATCCACGGCGACACTGAACGTAGGCTGAGACTGAAGATCAAAATTGGCCCTGGCCGGTCTGGCTCAGTGGATGGAGCAACGGCCTGCGGACTGAAGGGTCCCAGGTTCGATTCCGGCCAAGGGCACAGGCCTGGGTTGCGGGCTGGATCCCCAGTGGCAGACGTGCAAGGGGCAGCCAATCATTGACTCTTTCATCGATGTTTCTAGATGTTTCTATCTCTCTCTCTCCCTCTCCCTTCCTCTCTAAAATCAATAAGATAAATATAAAAGGAATCACTTTCTTTAAAAGAAAATTAATGCCAGGGTGCGGTGGCTGAACGGTTGGGAACTCGGTCCAAGAACTGGTTGGGATGTCGGAGTTCAGATGAAAAGCCAAGACGAGAAGAGCAGGGAGAGGCAGCGAGCGGGCTGGCCTGGCTGGCGTCCACCACGGATTTATCCCGGATGACGACGTTAAAAGCAAACGCGATCAGCTGCCGGCCACACGCCCGGAGCTGATTTACAGCCAGAGGAGGGACGGCGTCCCAGCGCCAGGAGCTGCAGAAGCTCCGAGAGCCGCGCCACCCTCGGCCGCAGGGCCCGGCCCCGGGTCCAACGCAGGTTCCCAGCTCGGCCTCATCCACGCCGTTCAGGCTCGGACGGAGCCGGTCCCAGGACGGGCCCGCGGCCCCGGTTCGCGCGGCCCCTCCCGCCTCCCCCCGGGGAACCGCCAGCCTCACACGCCTCGTCCCCGCCACCGCCTTCCTCGGCGCTGCCTGCCCCGACCACAGACCTGAGCGTCTCATGGCCGCAAAAGCCCCCGCCAGCCCGGCCCGCGTGGCTCCGTGGTTGAGCACCGACCTATGAGCCAAAAGGTCATAGTTCGATTCCAGGTCAGGGCACAGCCCCAGGTCCCCAGTGTGGGGCAACGGATCAATGACTCGGCAAAAAAAAAAAAATTCATCGGCGTGAATATGAAAAAAACCAATACCGTGACCCAGCAAACAAACAAACAAACAAACAAACAAAAAATCAGCACAACTAGTCATGCTGGCGATTGACTAGTTGACTCAGCAAAAAATCGCCAGCATGACTAAGCAAAAATCAATACCACGACTCAGCAAAAAACCAATACCATGACTCAGCATAAACCAATACCATGACTCAGCAAAAAACCAATACCATGACTCAGCAAAAAAAGCGCATCCGCACGGACTTGCCAAAATGCATCCACTTAACCACTGGCCGGTGATCCGTGGTCGAACGGTTAATGAATTCCCCCCTTAATGCGCTGGCAGCCCGGACGCCCCCGGCCCCGCTCTGTCCACCGATCCCGAGCAGAGAGGAGGGCGGTGCGATGGCGGCCGCCTCACTCACCAGCTGGTGCTGCAGCCGGACGGTGGTCAGCGGGGAGCCGGACAGGTTGTGGGCCAGCGCGGGCGGCGGCACCACCTCCAGGGAGATGAGGTAGCTGGCGGCCGACAGCGGGCAGCCGGGGTAGGCGGCCGCCTCGGGGATCCTGGCGGGACAGGGACGGTCAGGACGGGGGCGGGGCAGCGGGCAGCCGGGGTAGGCGGCCGCCTCGGGGATCCTGGTGGGACAGGGACGGTCAGGACGGGGGCGGGGCAGCGGGCAGCCGGGGTAGGCGGCCGCCTCGGGGATCCTGGCGGGACAGGGACGGTCAGGACGGGGGCGGGGCAGCGGGGCGCCGGGCGCCGGGGCGGGGGCCGGGGATGGATGTGGGATCTCCAGCCGCCTGTGCCCGCGGCTCCCGCCAGGCTGGGCGCTGGCCCCCAGGGCGGGTCCCACGCTCAGTGTGTGAGTCCTGCAGCTCCAACTGCACCCACCAAACCCTGTTCCTGGCCCGGCCAGCGTGGCTCAGTGGTGAGCGCCGCCCTATGGACCAGGAGGCCAGGGTTCGACTCCCAGTCAGGGCACAGCCCCGGGGTGCAGGCTCCATCCCCAGGGGGGCGTGCAGGAGGCAGCCGGCCCATCTCTCTCCTCATGGGTGTCCCTCTCTGGGTGTGTCTCTCTCTGCCTTCCTCTCTGAAGTCAACAGAAGTATTAACAAATAAAAAAGCAAAAAATCCAGTTAACGCACTGCGTGCTCATGGTGAGATCGGCCCCGGTACCCCGGCCCCCAGGAGGACGCAGACATATGCATGGACACACACATGAACACACACACACATGTACACGCACAGACACATACACGGACACACACGTGCAAACGCACGCGTACACACACATACACAGAGAGACACACGCACACGCACACGCACACGCACTCACCGGGTGCGCTCCGGCCGGATGGGGCCCAGGAAGCGGTGCATGGTGTGGTAGAGCAGCCCCACGATCGTGGTCCAGGCTGAGGGGGAGGCGGCCTCAGCGTCCGGGGGCGAAAGGAGGGGCACGCGGCCCCCCAGCCCCCCGACACCCAGCCCCCCAGGCCTCCCCCAGAGCCGGGAGGAGAGGGCGGGGCCCCGGCTCCTAACTCTCCCACAGCCACTGCCTCGGGGCATTTACAGCAACACGACCCCCCAAACCCCCTCCCCCCAAACGCCTTCTACTCCCGCGCCCCCCCCCCCCGTCCTTCCTGCCTGCAGGGCCGCCTCCCGCCCAGGGCACCCGACTCCCTCCACTCCCCCTGCCCCGTCCCCCCTGCCCGGCTCCCCCCTGCCCGGCGCCCCCCCCCCCCCCGGCCTGGCTCCCCGCGCCCGGCTCCCCCCCCGCCCCGCCCGCGCCCCCCTCCCCTGCCCGGCGCCCCCCTCCCCTGCCCTGCGCCCCACTCCCCTGCCCGGCGCCCCCCTCCCCTGCCCGGTGCCCCCCTCCCCCCCCGCCCGGCCCCCCCCCGCCAGCGCACCGTGGCCGCGGAAGGCCTCCTTTGGGACCTCGATGTAGCTGGGGCCCTGGGCCGGGAAGCGGTAGCTGGAGGAGTTCAGGGTCCCGGGCAGGAGCTTGGCCACCGAGAACTCTGTGTGCAGGGGGGGCGGTCAGTGCTCCGGGCGGGCTGGGCCCTGCTCTGGGGTGCAGCCTGCTCAGGGGGTGCAGCCCGCTCTGGGGGTGCAGCCCGCTCTGGGGGTGCAGCCAGCTCTGGGGGTGCAGCCCGCTCTGGGGGTGCAGCCCGCTCTGGGGGTGCAGTGAGCTCTGGGGGTGCAGCCCGCTCTGGGGGTGCAGTGAGCTCTGGGGTACAGCCCGCTCTGGGGTGCAGCCCGCTCTGGGGGGGCAGCCAGCTCTGGGGGTGCAGCCCGCTCTGGGGGTGCAGCCCGCTCTGGGGGTGCAGCCCGCTCTGGGGTGCAGCCAGCTCTGGGGTGTAGCGAGCTCTGGGGGTGCAGCCCGCTCTGGGGGTGCAGCCAGCTCTGGGGGTGCAGCCCGCTCTGGGGTGCAGCCAGCTCTGGGGGTGCAGCCAGCTCTGGGGGTGCAGCCAGCTCTGGGGGTGCCATCCTGTGACAAAGCAGGGCTGACACCCCGGGCGTCCCGGGAGGGCGCCCCAGCTCATGGCTCAGTGTCCGTCCCGCCCCCCGGGGCCCCGGGCCAGGCCCCCCCCTACCTCCCCCCCCGCGCATCTCCACCCCGCCCCCCGCCCCCCGCCCCGCCCCCCCAGGCACCTGCCACGGAGGAGGAGCCGGCGATGGCCACCCGGGGGTGGGGCGCCTGCAGGCAGGAGGCGATGTGGCTCAGGACCACGTCCACCGTCTCCACCAGGCCCAGCACCGCGGCGGCGTCCTGGCAACACACCGACCGCTCAGACCGACCCAGGCCCGGCGCCGGCCCCACACGCGTGCTCGGGACACGGCCGAGGGGGACGGGAGCCGCCCGCGCTGGCCCAGCCCCGTGGCCGGGGGCGGGGCCGGGGGGAGGGGGCGATGTGGACCGGGGCTGCACCTCGTCCCCTCCCCCCGTGTGGTGGGTCCTCACCAGGAAAGTGTGTTCGGTTGTTAGAGGGAGGGGGAGGGGCAGGGGAGGGGCAGGGAGGGAGGAGGAGGGGG